TTTGTTCATCAAAGGATACTATCATAAAAAGTGAAAAGACAGCCTACAGAATAGGAGAAAATATTTGCAAATCATATATCTGATAAGGAATTAATATCCGGAATATGTAAAGAACTCCTACAACTCAATAACAACAAACAACCCAATTTAAGAATGGGCAAAGACACGCCGGGCGCGGTGGGTCACACCTGTAATCCTAGCTCTCTGGGAGGCCGAGGCGGACGGATCGCTGGAGGTCAGGAGTTCGAAACCAGCCCGAGCAAGAAACCAGCCTGAGCAAGAGCAAGACCCCGTCTCTACTATAAATAGAAATAAATTAATTGGCCAACTAATACATACAGAAAAAATTAGCCAGGCATGGTGGCGCATGCCTGTAGTCCCAGCTACTTGGGAGGCTGAGGCAGGAGGATTGCTTGAGCCCAGGAGATTGAGGTTGCTGTGAGCTAGGCAGACACCATGGCACTCACTCTAGCCTGGGCAACAAAGCGAGACTCTGTCTCAAAAAAAAAAAAAAAAAAAAAGAATGGGCAAAGAACTTGAATAGACATTTTTCCAAAAAAGAAATGCAAATGGCCAATACATGAAGACATGCTCAACATCATTAGTCATTGGGGAAATGCAAATCAAAACAACATTGAAGTACCATTGAAATACCACACTTTCTAGGTTGGCTATTTTAAGAAAGAGGAAAATAACATGTTGCTGAGGGTATAGAGAAACTGGAACTATTGTGCATTGCCGGTGAGAACGTAAACAGTACAGCTGCTCTGGAAGACAGTTTGGTGGTTTCTCAAAAGGTTAAACATAGAATTACCATATGATTCAGGAATTATACTCCTAGGTATATATGTAAAAGAATTGAAAGCAAGGACTAGAATAGGTACTTGTACAGCAATCATTGCAGCATTATTTACAAAAGCTGGAAATAACCCTAGTGTCCATCAGCAGTTGAATGGATAAACAAAATGTGGTATATACATAAAATGGAATATTATTCAGCTTTAAAAGGAAAAGAAATTTTTGATATATGTCACAACATGCATGGACCTTGAAAATATTATTCTTGGTGAAATAAGCCAGACATATAAGGACAGATATGATTCCATTTACATGAAATACCTAGAATAGGCAAATTTATAGAGACAGAAAGTAGAATAGAAGTTACCAGAATCTGGGGGAAAATGAAGGAGGTGTTATTGCTTAACAGATATAGAGTTTTTGTTGGGGATGAAAAAAAGCTTTGAGTATAACGTTGATGGTTGCACAGCGTTGTGAATATATTGATGCCACTGAATTGTACACTTACAAATGGTTAAAATGATAAATATTATGTATATTTTACATTTTTAAAAGTTTTCCAATTTAAAAAGGTAGAAGTCAAATTCTGAAAACTAATATCAGAAGATGAGAAGAGTATGCATAAGTAATTTAAAGTGTGCTTTGGTCTTGTTTTGAAGCATTACAAAGAAAATGAATAATTTTAGATATTTAAAAATGTGTAAATATTTATGTTAACTAAAAAAATAGATAGAATCTCATTATGTTGCCAAGGCTGGATTCAAACTCCTAGGCTCAAGCAATCCTCATGCCTCAGCCTCCCAAGTAGCTGAGACTACAAATGTGTGCCAGTGTACCCAGATGTTTATATTAAATTTTAATACTAAAAGATTACAGATTCTGTTTATGGCTTTCAAACTAACAGAGGGGATAGAAAACATTTTTTTTTAAAGAAAAACTTTACTAGCACAATAGAGAGCAGGAAATGAGGGGGAAAAGGCCAAGAAGAATGGTTCATGGGAAAGATAAAATAAGATGTCAGAAGTTCATTGAATATGTTAAAAATCACTTATTAACATATAAAGACTGTAAAGTTGGGTAAAGAAACAAAATTTATTCAGAATGTACCTCAGAATGAAAAAAAAAAAAAAAAGAAAGAAACAAAATTTAGGCCGGGCGTGGTTCACACCTGTAATCCTAGCACTCTGGGAGGCCAAGGCGGGAAGATCGCTTGAGGTCAGGAGTTCAAGACCAGCCTGAGGTAGAGCGAGACCCCATCTCTATTAAAAATAGAAATTATCTGGACAACTAAAAATATATATAGAAAAAATTAGCTGCGCATGGTGGTGCATGCCTATAGTTCCAGCTACTCGGGAGGCTGAGGCAGGAGATGGCTTGAGCCCAGGAGTTTGAGGTTGCTATGAGCTAGGCTGATGCCACGGCACTCTAGCCCAGGCAACACAGTGAAACTCTGTCTCAAAAAAAAAAAAAAGAAAGAAAAAGAAACAAAATTTAGCATCTACTACTTACAAGAGACATACCTAAAACAAAATGACTTGGAAAGGTTAAAATTAAAGGCATAGATAAAGATATACCAGAAATATACTAATCAAGATAAAGGTAGCACTGCAATATTATAATACAAATATCAGACCAAAGATCTAGACTTTTGAATAATTTATAAAACATAGACTTGCAGTATTTCCAGTGTGGCTAACTGCAAAGATATGTTCTACCTGGTATTACTTATCTGTTTTTTCTTATCTTTGTAAATCATCTACCACAAAATATGTGTTTTTAACTCCATTGTAAATAACTCCATTTATGGAGTTATTTATGTGTTAGATAATGTGAATAGAGACAAAATGAATACAACCTAAGTGCTTAATCCATAGAACTTGCAGTCTAGCCGGGGAAAGAAGTCTAGTGACTTAAAAACAAGGCAGCAACCAGGTGGTGTATCTCACACCTATAATCCCAACAACTGGGGAGGCTGGGCTAGGAGGATTGCTTGAGCCCAGGAGTTCGAGGCTGCAGTGAGCTATGATAATACCACTGTACTCCAGCCTGGTGACAGAGCGAGACCCTGTCTCTTAAAACAACAACAACAACAAAAAATAAAACACACACAACAATAACAAGGTAGCAAATTGCAAGCACCATTAGAGAGTTGTGAGATATGATGGGACCTGGTCGTGGGAGATAGAATCAGGAAAAGATTCTATGTAAAATGTGGTATTTGAGATGGTCTTAAAAAGCTATACCAAGGTTATAATTTCACTGTTATTAGTTCCTAATAATAACACAGCCTAGACCATGACCTAGACACCAGCTTTTTCCCCTTAGGGTATGAAGTATACTTTGAGACTAATTCTTTGCTGGATAGCTTCATAAATTTAGGCTACAAATATTATCATTTCAGACTTCATTTGCTGGAAATGTAGCCTACTGCATTTAACTGTAACAGCTCATTTGCTATATTTTTCATTTTCCTTTACTCAAGACAACAGCACCGCCATAAACTGCCTGGTTAGGTTAACACTTTCATTGCATTTTAAAAACCTCTCTTCTAACCTAATTCTTTGCCAGATGTTGTCCTCATAGTGTCTTAGAAGTCAATTTCTATGTTCATTTTCCATGAGGGAAGAAGAGTATGTAATGTGCTTTTTTATACAGTGCTGTTAACATTAACGGGAAGAAATTTTATCCTAAATGATAACATACTGTATGTTAAAAACAGGTTAGACATTTCTCCCTGAAATTGGTCTGGGATAGAATAGATGGGAAATGGAATAGATGGCTCTTGAATTTTTTCCTGTTTAGTTTAGTGATTCAGAATTTTTTTTCCCCTTTCAATTGTCAACAAATGAAAACTGGCATTTGGAATTACTCTATTCCCTCCATTCTTTGCCATCTTCAGTTTAATGTCTGTTTCTCCATAAAGATTAACATGTTTTCCACTTATGATATACTTGTCAGGGAATTTAGGGGTTTTCTAGAACCTGAAGTCTGCCCTGGTAGGGATGATTACTGGACAATTGCCTATTCTTTGGTGGAGTTTCCATTTTTAGATTACTCCAGGCTCTACAGCCTTTATTTCTTTGGCAGGAGAAGCCAAAGGCAACGGAGTATATTTTTTCCTTTCCCTGGCCCAGCTTAAACAGTGACTCACTTGGGCCCTGGGGCTTTGCTTCATACTCTCATTTAGGGGCTACTTTCTACCCTATTTGCCTTTAGTGTTCTGTTTGGAACAGACAGAATCTCATGTATTCTTTGGTAGGTGGTATTTGTCTCTGAGTTATTGTCAGGGAGATATGTAACCACCCCCAAATTGAGCTAGTTATATCCCCAAAAGCCATTTCATCCTTGTGGCAACTGGTATAGGTCAGGGATAGTACAGAAAGATATCATTAAGGAAACTAATTTCAAATAAGGTAGAGGAAGTAGGATTCTCAAAAAAAAAAAAAAAAAATGAGTACCAAAATCATCCAGTTAAAGACTGAAAGATTTTCCTCTATATGAGATGCTTTAGTGACTGGTTAAAACTTCCTCAGTATTGGACACTGATACTTGCAAAAAAGAAAAGAATAAAATTAAAAAGTGAAATTAATTTAAAAAAAACAAACTTCCTCAGTGTATACATGTGGGAGCTGGGAAACACTCAGAGGAATTAAACTTCAAGAGGTTTCAGAGGGATATGATTATATGAAAAAACTTCCCCATAGAAGGACTGTGGTTTAGAGTTTTTTTTTGTTTTTTTTTTTTTTTGAGACAGAGTCTCGCTTTCTTGCCTAGGCTAGTGTGAGTGCCGTGGCGTCAGCCTAGCTCACAGCAACCTCAAACTCCTGGGCTTAAGCAATCCTACTGCCTCAGCCTCCCGAGTTGCTGGGACTACAGGCACGAGCCACCATGCCCGGCTAATTTTTTTATATATATATTAGTTGGCCAATTGATTTCTTTCTATTTTTATAGTAGAGACGGGGTCTCGCTCAGGCTGGTTTTGAACTCCTGACCTTGAGCAATCCGCCCGCCTCGGCCTCCCAGAGTGCTAGGATTACAAGCGTGAGCCACCACGCCCGGCCTTGGTTTAGAGTTTTGTTGGGGAAAAATAAAAAAGATTTTCCCCCTTTTTGGCAGCAGTTTTCCCTGGTCTCAGTTTTTCATTCTGATTCCAGTCTTCTGGATTCCATCTAATGATGATTTCTTGATTTTTATCTTTGCAGTTTTAACAGTGTATGCCAGGGAACTCACATTCTCTTTCGGGAATTCAGCTTCATCCAAGCCACCCCCCACAACAGGGCATCGTTTTTACGGGCCTTCTGGAGATGCTTCCGAACTGTGGGCAAAAATGGTGGTAAGTCTTCTCAAAAAAAAAATTTTTTTTTTGCCTTCTTTCCTTCCTTTCTTTAAAACCTTTTCTTTGTTCTTATAAATACTGATTGAATGCATGGTAGTAAAGGCATTTGGAATATCTTACTTTTTGAGGAACTATCTGTCTTATTTCAGAGATATTACTAATGATACCTATTAAGAGCCAATTGTAGCTTTGAGGACTTTACATGTAGTAATTCATTTAATTTTCACAATCACTCTCTATGGTAGATTCTATAATCCCCATTTTGTAACTAATGAAACCCAGGGTCAGAGGAGTTGAGTAACTTGACAAGGTAATATGGTAAATGCCAGGCCCAGATTTATACCCATGCAGTCTGGCTCCAGAGCCCTTACTAATGGCAAATATTAAAATGCCACGCAGTAAATACAAGGAATAATGTGAATACAAAAAAGGAAACTCCGTTGAGCACCACAGTAGTCTTGAAGAAAAAAAAGAAAAAAAAAAAAAAAGGAAACTCCTGAATAGGGGGTTGGGATAAGGATACCGTTGTTAGAGAAGAAGGAGAAAAGTACACTGGGGATTCTCCTGAGAATTAACTATTTGATCTAAGTTAAAAAGGAAGAGTAGGCATTATCCATATGTATAAAAGAGAAAAGGGCATTTTAGGTAGGACATATGCTGAAGCATAAAAGAACCTGGAATATTTAAGAAACAGAAGATCAGGCTGGGCACAGTGTCTCTCTCATCTGTAATCCCAGCACTCTGGGAGGCCGAGGCAGGAGGATTGCTTGAGGCCAGGAGTTTGAGACCAGCCTGAGCAACGTAGTGAGACCCTGTCTCTGTCTCCACAAAATAAAAAAATTAGCCAGGCTCAGTGGCTAATCTGCAGTCCCAACTACTCAGGAGGACCACTTGAGCCCAGGAGTTCAATGTTACAAGTGAGCTACAATCGGGCCATTGCACTCCAGCCTAGGTGACATGGCAAGACCCCATCTCCACAAAAAAAGAAAAAGAAAAAAATGAAAAGAAAGAAACAGAAGATAAGAATGACTAGAGTAGGCCGGGAGCGGTGGCTCACGCCTGTAATCCTAGCACTCTGGGAGGCCGAGGTGGGCGGATTGCTCAAGGTCAGGAGTTCAAAACCAGCTTGAGCAAGACCCCGTCTCTACCATAAAAATAGAAAGAAATTAATTGGCCAACTAATGCTATTATAATTATAAGAAATCGCGGCATGGTGGCTCGTGCCTTAGTCCAGCTACTCGGGAGGCTTGAGGCAGGAGATCGCTTGAGCCCAGGAGTTTGAGGTGCTGTGAGCTAGGCTGACGCCACAGCACTCACTCTAGCCTAGGCAAGAAAGCGAGACTCTGTCTCAAAAAAAAAAAAAAAAAAGAATGACTAGAGTAGATGAGCCTGTAAAGGAATAAAAGAGCTCCCGAAGGACGATTTTTACCATAAAAATGAAGTTAGATTTTATTCTGTGGGTATTATTTGAAGGCTTTTAGATATGAGAGTGGTGTGATGGTATCTGAGTTCTAGAAAGATCATTCAAAAAGTGGTGTGGAAGATGGCCTGGACTGGAAGCAGGGAACATATTAATAGAAGTCTTGGAGTAGTTGAGTGAGAGATAAGAGCCAAAACTAAGGCAGTGTCCATGGAGATGGAAAAGGGCGTTCTTGGGGATTGAATCCACAGGATTTGTTGATTGGATTTGGCATATAAAGTGAATGAGAAGACCAGTGATAATTTCCAGGTCTCCGGCTTGGGCAACTATGTAAGAATATTAGGGGGCAATAGATTATTGGGGGAAAATGTGTTATTGTTTATTTTTAATTGTGATAAAATATACATAACACAAAATTTACCATTTTGACCACTTTTAAGTGTACAGTTCTGTGACATTAAGTACATTCACATTGTTCTGCAGCCATCCCCACCATCCATCTCCAGAGCTTTTTCATCTTCCTAAACTGAAATTATACCCTTAAACTAATTCTCTGTTCTCTCCTACATCCAGCCCCTTGAAGCCACTATTCTGCCTTCTGTCTCTGTGAATTTGACTACTCTAGGTACCTCGTACAAGTAGAATCATATAATATTTTTCCTTTTGTGACTGGCTTATTTCATTTAGCATAATGTCCTCAAAGTTCATCCATTGTCAGAATTTTCTTCCATTTTAAGCCTGAATAACATTCCATTGTGTGTATATCACATTTTGTTCCTCGTTTCATCTATTAATGGACACTACGGTTGCTTCCACCTTTTGGCTATTGTGAATAACGCAGTATGTTGTTTAAAATAGACTAAGCTAAAAAGCTTCATTAAGCAGTAGGAAATACAGGACAGTTTCTAGAAATATAGATTTGAGTAAGTAGAATAAAGTTACATAAAGTTTTTCAAATCACTTTATAATCCTTGATAGATAAGCCTTGTATACTGGAAAATGTAAGTCATTTTTATGTTTGAATACTCTTGCTTTAGCCTTTCTTGATTATATTAAAAGGAAAATATTAAGAAAGACACTGATTGAAAATGTCTTTATCAAGACTTTATCTTGGTGAGGTGAAGGGTGAAAGCACCTCCAATGGGAGTTTCTTTTTAGAAATGGCACTAGGTTCTTATATTTAGAATATTAAAATAGATTGAATTGCTCCAAATTTTTCAGATTTAGAATCTTTACATCAAAATCTTCTTTCACATCTGTTTTCAAGGGCTTGTTCTTATTCCCACTTTCATATTACATGCTTTTCCAAATTAAGTATTGAATACCTTTAAGGCAGTTTCTTTTTTTGTGGTGGTGGGGGCGTACCAGAGTCTTGCTCTGTTGACCAGGCTAGAGTGCCATGGGGTCAGCCTAGCTCAGAGCAACTTCAAACTCCTGGGCTCAAGCAATTCTCCTGCCTCAGCCTCCCAAGGAACTGGAACTACAGGTGTGACCACCACATCTGGCTAATATTTTTTTCTATATTTAGTTGCCCAGCTAATTTTTTCTACTTTTAGTAGAGACAGGGTCTCACTCTTGGTCAGGCTGGTCTCGAACTCCTGACCTCAAATGATCCTCCCGCCTCTGCCTCCCAGGATGCTAGGATTACAGGTGTGAGCCACCGTGCCCAGCCAAGACAGTTTCTGTAGTGATCCTACCTTGAAGAGGAAGGCCTAAACTACTTTCTCATTCATTCAACACATATTTCTGGTAGACTTACTATGTGACTGGTGCTGAGGTTATAGTGAGTGAACAAATACACTCCCTGCTTTTGACTTTACAAAATCCCCCACCGTGATCTAATTGATGCTACTGTTACTTTATATATAGCTACTGAAACTTTTTTTCTAAAACTCTTTCTACCCAGTATCTTATTAGATCATTTCAACCATCCTGAGAAATAGGTAAAATAGGTATTATTGTGCTCAATTTATAAGTAATGAAATTATATAATTTGTAGAAAGATTTCACAGTGGATTAATAGCAAAGCTGGAAATAGAACCCAAATTTACTAATGGATAATGCACTGTTTCTGCAATTTTTACTTCAATCAATGGTTCTTTGACATGTAACACTAGAGATTATCCATGTCTATTATAGTATTTATGCAAGAAGTACTGAGTGTACTGAGGATAGCATCTTTTCCTTTACAGAATAAATGCACTAATAGGTAAAAACTAATGTGGACCCAGTTTTAAGTAAACTAGCTCAGAAAAACTGTCTCATTGGTCTCTACATAAACAAAACTAGGAGCTTTGAGTCTATAGGTGAAGTTTATACTATTTTATCAGAACTTATCTTTCCCAATTCTTTCCTAGTCCCTTATTCAGTCAGCAAATATTTATTGGATACCTATTACAGTCGTCACTTGGTATACATGGGGATTGGTTCCAGGACTCCCACATACACCAAAATCTGTACATACTCAAGTCCTGCAGTCGGCCCTGTGAAACCTACGTTTATGAAAAGTTGGCCCTCCATATACACAGGTTTTGAATCCCTTGGGTACTGTATTTTCAATCCCTATTTGGTTGGAAAAAATCCATGTATAAATGAACCTACACAATTCAAACCCATGTGCTTCAAGAGTTGACAGTGTATTGAAAAATGGTATATACAGCTAGAGCTAGTTTCTGTGATATAGCATATGAAGATAACTCGAAAATAATCTTTAGATAGCCTTAGTTTTTTAGCCTTAATTTTTTGCCTGATTTAGAAGTGGGGCCTCTTCAAGAATTCATTTACTATCACAAGGGATTTGTATAGCATTTGGACTCTTAGCAGATGTGGATTTCTTTATCTGTCTAATAGCAGCTGCCAGTGATTCATCCAGCTGCTGAGAAGCAACAGCTCCAAATTCTCCCTGTTTCTCCTGTGCCATAAACAAGGCTTAGCTTTTATTCTGGATATTTATTATTATGCTTCTTAATCGGATAGCCTCTGATATCTTAAAGACTAAACATAAAATTTCTGTCTAGGTGATCCTAAAATCTTTGGTTAAATGGTTTTTAATATATTCTTAGTTTTTTCCAGGAAAACCTTAGAACATCTTTCTGTCCCAGAATGTGTCAGTCCCAATTTTAATCCAGAATGAATGAAAACTCTTGGAAGCAAGGTTCGAAAGGAAAGGATTTATTACGCCCTATTTTTTCAATGAATGCCAAGTACCTACTCAGTGGAGCTTCTACTATATTGTTCTTCTACAGATAACTTCCTTAGAACATCATGTACATATTTTAGCATTATCAGGAGGAAACTAACTCTTCTGGAAGGTAGCAAAAGAAGAGTAGAGTTTTAGCATAATATGTCTAAAAAGAAGCCACCTGTAGAAAACTAAGGACCTGATTTCTTCTGACAAGAAACATTTATTCCAGTTTTTAACAAGTACAGGGATATAGTATCATTTCTGCATAACTGAGTACTGAACAATGCTAATTTTCCTATGTCTGAATTTTAGATAATCTCATGAAAACTATAGGGAACCTCGTGCTATTCAGGCGATTTTAGACTACTGGAAGCAAAAAGGTATATTGAAATG